TTTTTCAATAGAATTCAATCTAAATCATATAATACAGTCCGTGAATAGTTTTTTGTTTTGTTTTTTGTTTTGTTTTGTTTTGTTGTTTTGTTTTGTTTTTTTATGATGTGCACTCAACAAAATTGAACCGCACCTTAATTGGGATTTTACAGAGTATTAACGATGGATTTGTACTTCTCCAGAATTGAGTAATTTTGTTGAGTGTGTAATTAACAAAATAATCGGACAGTTAATGGGTAGCCTTACTATCATAGGTCTTACTCAAGCACTAACAATATGTTGAACAAATAGATTTTCCCAAGCCTACCTGGCATTCAAGAGCTTGAGAATAAGGTCAAGCGGGTTAAATCACAACGTTTTTTATTCTCATGAGAATAATTATATACGTAAGTAAGGCCCATAAAATATGTCTCCGCTTTAAAATTTCTCCACTGGATAGCGTTTTCAAATGCATGCGTTTTTCGATGAAAATGTTCAGCGTTTTTTGCATGGATTGTTCATCTTTGTTTATTTGTCTAACTCTTGGTGCATCTATCGACGCCAAGCTAAGCCAATAGGAAATAAAAAGGCTTTGGTGGTGTCTCATTGCCCTCAGTTTTATCAAGTGTAGGATTTTCAGATCTCAGAAAGAGAAACTAAAGATCAATCCTTTTTGTCTAGAAAGTAAAGCACCTTTGGATAGCATATCAGCAAAAATCGAAAGTTTTAAAGATATTAGAAAGACAGACCAGGTGTTTTGTATGGATGTCTCTCAATTCTGGAGCCGAAGACACGCAAGAAATGCGACATGTGACATGAGAGAAGCAGAAGCAAACTTAACTGAAAAATGTAGTGAATATAATATAATAATTTAAATGCAGGGATTAACAAAAACTAGGCTTTTTTGTTCTTGTAGAAAATTTTTTGTTCAAGCTCTGAGCAAAGACTCAAATAATTTTCACAGTAAGAAAATGATAATTAAGAGCTATTATTTTCTCACCAGTCGAAAAATAGGAACAGTACGCAAGATCTATTTGGAAATTAACATGAAGACGAAACAAAGAATAAAGCTTTCTAAAAGAGCTTTTTCTACACGGAACTGATTAACGCATTTTGTTCCCTTTAATGTACCCGGCAAAAATCGTTCTCAAACGATAACAAAAACAGCGCACATAACGCTTTTTTTTACGATCGCTCATAGTGGATGTGCCAGATGACAGAGGAAAATCACAAAATGCAATATGCGACTTACAAAGTACAAAAAAATTCTTCAAACTTTGAATATTGCTCTGGGTTATGTTTTTAAGCATTTACGGAAAAATTCTATCATAATATATATATATATATATATATATATAT